CCTTATTTCACTTCTTTTAATCAACCATCGTGCATTTTTGTACATGTATGTTAATTCTGTACAAGAGTATCTTAAGTCACAACACCATTATAATAATATTACACGATGGTCAACTTATGGAAATAGTCTGACAATATAATGACAACATCTAGAATACAATATGAAAATCAGGGGCAGTAACCCATCTACAAGAAACAATATAAAGATTAGGGGGGGGGGGATAACTACTATAGTTCAGTATGGATAACTTATACAGAATGAAAACAACTTCCCCTCAATGAGATCTGTTCATGTTATAGGTTTTGCCTTGACAGCTATTATGCATCGGACAAAATATTAACAAAGTATAAAATATTTCAAAGGGCAATAAGAACTTGGAAATTATGCGAAGCAGAGTTACAATTCCTCAACAGTACTATGCATTATGATAATAAAAATAGGTATGTACAGATCCCACATCCTAAAGAGAATATTTTTGCACTTTTCTCTTTTTCATTTTTTTCCAGGTGAGATCTCATCCTTCTGTTTCCTTAACATACATTAGAGCTTTAAAAAATGTTTTTCTCCATGTAGGCAAACATTTTCCATCTTCGAGACTGTCCAATTCAAGTTTTATTTTAAACTAAGTCATTTCAGTTTTACTGTAACTTGCTAATACTTTATTATTGTATGCAAAGCAACTAATTCTCATGAGCCTTTAAAAAAATCTGAATCAAAGGGCCCAAGTTCCTAAGATTGCTGGATTGAGATGTAGATTCCTTAGACACCTTAAAAATTACGAATTTTTCTCATTTTTTATTTGCTAAAGCAAATATTGTATTATCTTATTGAACAGATGTTTCGAACCAGCTATGTTAACAAAATTTATTTACTTATAATCAAAACTAGACTAAAATAGTCAAACCTGTGTTAAAGACCACCTCCAAATAATAACCACCCTATGAGTAAAGACCATACTTCAACAAACCTTCATTGATTAAATACAAAGTTTACTTGAAATTAAGACCACTTGTACATAAAGGACATGTTCAGTTGGTCTCTAAGATGGCCTATGTTCACAGGTTTATGTATATTTATATTTTAGGTAAGGTTTAATTTACACAAAATGTATAAATAACAACACACAAAACAACAGGGTAGTTTCCAAAAGGTTTGGAATCACAATTGTTTCTGTGACAACACAAAGAAAATAATATTCCGACAACCTAGAAACAAAATGCATCTTGATAAAAGTTTACAATAAAAAAAACATCATAAATTCAATGACTCTGAAAGAAATTAATAAATTATCACACAAACAAAATTACAAATATTCAAAAAAAAAAATTTCCAGTCCTGAAAGTCTATAAATAAATTATCGCATATTCCTCCTTGACAACACATAGCATTGCAGATTCCTGAAAACATGTAAATCTAACAGGCAAATGGATACATTTTCGATCATATAACATTCAAAATTTCTGCAAACAGACAATCAATCTAAATGCTTTTACAATTTTCAGTCCTTAATTCAAACCTATAGAAAACTCAATAAACCTAAAGAAAACTCAGTAACCTAAAGGAAACATAAATAAACCCAAAGAAAAATAAATAAATAAAAAAGAAAAACTCACAGCAAATAAACTAAAGGCCTAAAAGCATAATAATCATAATAATAACTACTATATAATAAAAAAAACAAAGATTATAAGTCTACAAGAATAAAATGGAAGTTAAAGCGTATAGAGAAAATGCGTGTTGTGAGAGCATAATGAGAAAAAAGCGTGTTGTGAAAGCATAATTATAATGAATAAAAGCGTGTTGAAATATTTTGAAATTTTGTGTGCACAGAAAAAAAAGCAAAGATAGCAGTAAAAGGGAATGATGGGATAAAAGCAAGTAAAGCATTTTATCACAAGGTGTTTAGTAATTTGTAGTATTTTTTGGTGATTTTGATTAAGAAAAATGTAAACATTTGAATTAATCAAATTCAAAGAACACGTACTTGAAATAATCACGTTGTTTAAATTCAATTATAAAGTGTTTTAAGGACATAGAAGGTATGATAACAGAAAGATCAAAGATAAAATTTCAAAAAAAATAAAAAAATTTAACATCATCATTCTTTGAAAAAATTACAAAAAAAGTTTAGAGGTATTTTCTCCCCTATAAAAACAAACAATCTCATAATAAATATGTGCAAAAAATTCGATATCAAATTCTTTTTTTTCTACTTTGTATACAGCTTCGGCCATTCTAAACTTTTAAATGTACTCTTATTTTTCCCATTTCTACCATATCTTACCAACAAATTTCATGTATATCAATTTTTTAAGAATTTCTCATCTCATTCATACTTTATCAGACATACATTAGTAATTTGTTTGGGAGGGGGGAGAAAGTGGGGGTTGGGGGGTTAAACTAACATTCAAATCTAAGCGACATTTAGCTTACATTAGAGGATGAGTTATTATATATACAAGTATATACATGGAGACAGAAGCATGATTATAACTGCTTTCTACCATTCCAAACATTTTTTAAAAACTTTTTACTGAATTTATTTGTGAACCAAAAATCATACTTCGAGACAGAAGCATGATTATAACTGCTTTCTACCATTCCAAACATTTTTTAAAAACTTTTTACTGAATTTATTTGTGAACCAAAAATCATACTTCGAGACAGAAGCATAATTATAACTGCTTTCTACCATTCCAAACATTTTTTAAAAACTTTTTACTGAATTTATTTGTGAACCAAAAATCATACTTTTAAAATGAAACCCTTGCCATTACCTGGACTTAAAATTAATGCTTCAATTAATGCTTCAATTTCAAAGCAGGACTGTGAGGTTTAATCCTAAGCCCTCTCAGGTGGCGACTAAATTTACACATGCAACCAGTGCAGACCAAGATAACCAGGCATATCAGTGCCATGTAATCATGGTCTGCACTGTTCGCAATTCCGTTAAAACTTGAGGAAATTTTCCTCGAAACATGATAAACGGTTTTGTCCAAAATGAAAGATGGACATTTTAAGATATTTAGCATGGTAATCTTGAATTAAGTCAGTGAATGATAAACTGCAAGATGAGATTCCCAGAAAAAATTAACAGAAAAACAACTTCATTGGTTTAACCAATGTATTAAATCACAACATTTGTAATTGGTTTTCAAAGAGGCAATGTTCAATAATAAACAATAGTCTTCATTAAACAAAAAGGTTGCAGAGTTGCAGTAAATAGCAGAAACATAGATGTTTTGCATTTAATTTCAGTTGAAATGAAGGCAAGATCTTTTTTGCTACATAAGTGAAAAAGGAATGTCTTTATTTGTACAAAAAGATGGTATTTTTCCATAGAAAAGAAGAAAGTGTCTTTATTTTTCAATAGAAATGGGCAACTGTCTTATTTTTTTTCTATATAACAGTATCTGCATTTTCCACAGAAATGAAGACAATGCCTTTATTCTCCATATGAATAAAAGGCATTGTCTTAAATTTCAATATTCATTTAAGTAAAGGCAATGTCTTTATTTTTCCATATTTAAGAAGAATGGGTTTTTTTTCCTTTTTGAAAATTGATGAAGGAGATGTCCAGAGATGTTCATTTTTTACAATCAAATATTATCAAGAGTAAACAAGTAAAACAACAGTAATTTTAAGATTTTTTTTCTACATTTTTTTCTCTTTACTTTTTTCTTCATTTTATTTTCTTCTCATAATCATTTATATTCAGAAACAATGAAAGCATGGATCTACTAACTACTGGAGGTTACTTCACAGGGATGGCTACATAATTATAGTTTTGTTACCACTTGTTTTTTGTTTGTTTTTTTTTTTAGATTAATACAACAACATGCAAAAGATAATACCATAAGAATATGTGCTTTACCTCATTCTGAGTGAGAAATAGGATTATAAAAAATAGAATTATAACAATATAATAACATGAAACAGGTTAAATGGAGACAGGTTAAAGACATAAAAAGTTTTAGACATAAAAACATACATTTCCGATATATAAAATGTGATCAATCAGACATAAAACTTAGTGCCATACATTCAAGGAAATAAAACAGTGAAAACATAGAGATCTATTTCATACAGAATTGTGCATTTTTTTTCTCAACAATATATATGTAATAATTCTTTGTAACTATTGATTACATATAGAAAAACTGCGTACAGGAATACAGTATTCCCTGTGTAACCAGTTTTGCTAATCTATAGATATATATATATGTTTTTTTAAATGTATAACAATTTATTTTGCTTGTGCATGAAGGTGCAAAAACATGGTAGATAAGGATGTGACAACACAAATCCAGAAATGCTAGTCGCAGTCTGATATCCGGCCTCAAATGTGAAATTTCTAAGCCGCACGCCTCCAGATGAGCCAAAATATTTCAAGAAAATCAAACTTGACCAAAATATGCTAAGATTTTAAAGAAAAGTAAAAAAATTAAGTGTTTCAAGTAAAAATTTACCTGTTATGTGCAATTAATGACTGATTTGCAGAATTTATCACTATATTTCTACTGCGTGACTAATGCAGTTAAAGCTACTGTTGCATATTTTTACCTCTTTTTGGTAATTAACGTGCATTGCACCAGTGCCGTTTGCAATGTGTTACTTCACTTTCCTCATTCATTTCTAAATATTTTACTTATTGATAAATTTTCAATTTTTTTTTAAATGAAAATGAGCATGAATCTGGAGGCATGCTACTTTAAAAAATAATCTCTAAACTTTCATCATATAATCTCTAAACAATGTAAGCAGAAATTATAGCCCAATTTTTTATGTTTACCCTAATTCATCAACTAAATAAACAAATCTCAAACATCGTTTTGTTAATTCATTATTTGGAAATGCAATTTTTTTCTCGTTTTATCTCAGACTCTAGCATTTCTGCAATTGAACGACATAAACGTGACCGTATTTTTTTTTGTGTGTGTGTGACCGCATGGGCAAATTCTATGTGAAGAGATGGTTATGTGATCGGACATCACACTTACTCCGGTTAAAACAGCAGAATATCCAAGCTGGCAGTACCCTTGCTGGTGAAACTGATCCGTAACCAATGGCAACCCATCCACACCTAAACAACAGCATGCACAAAATAGAAAGGTGTGTGTGATTGGCTGTAACATGACCAGATATTTCATCAAGTGCATCAATTAAAATAATAAAAACTCAAGAGTTCTTTTTTTCATTATCCTTCCTTATTCTAATTCTCGTTTTTTTCCTGTCCTTAAACCAAATGGCCGGAACTCTAATATCTAAACCAATCTTAAGCCAATCTTTTATATATTCTTTTCAATAAAATTGAAACAAAAATAACAGGAAAAATATATTCCTAGAATTCTCCTTGCTACATACATTAATTGCTGCATAAATCTGAAATGATCTTGACCTTAAAAAGTCACTTTGTACTTTCAGTGAATGGCAACTTAAGTGTTGTTTTCAAGACAAAAATGCAAGTGTTGTCTTGACAGTTTAGATTTCTGTGACTCTAAATGTGGAATTAAAAGCTTTATCGGTCAAACATAATATGAACATCACAGTGACCTTGACCTTTGCTAGAGAAATCATATCAGGGTGACCTTAACCTTTCAGTATGATTGCTTACAGGTCAAAATTATTCATAAACCATTTGTTGACATAATTGGACTTTTTAACAAGTGAAATATTTTGGGAAACAAAGAATAATCATCTTTAAGTTAAGACTGGCTGTTTGATAGTTAAAAGCTGTGAATACAATAAGTAAGTTAAACATAGTATTACTGTTTTTGAATTAATGGAACACACTAGTTGTTTTGTACAAATTAGGAAAGCCTGTGACACACAAATTAGTACATTAAAACTCACATCAAAACATTATTTGCGGCATTTTTTCACAATTAGTCGAGAAAAAAGCTTGTTTTAAAGCTGAAAGAAATTAATTTGCATGTTAGTGAAAAAATTATTTATTTCACCAAATAATTCTAATAAAATTCACAACTTTGTCAGTCATAAAATATACATATACTACATAATTCTAACCTAAATGAAAATGATCCAATCAGATGAAGTGGCACTTTTGCTACAAAAGGACCAATCAAATTAATTGACATAATTTCAAAATTGACCAATCAAATTAACCGACCTATAATTTGTTTGCCGTTTAAAACAGATGGCAGACACAGTTGTAAAACCACTGATGCTTTTAACATTATCAGACAAAAATATCCAAAACTGTTAACATGTCAATAAAAATCCATGTGAAGCCACTTTTCTGGTATCTTTCTGCATCTTCAATAAATCCAAAAAGCTGGAAACTGAGAGCTGTAGAAAAAAATAATTAACTAAAAAGGCGCACTATGGTCAATTCACTTAGTAATTTGTTCCTGCAGTAAGAATGAATTGCAAATAAAATATTAATGCAATATAGTTGTATCTTTTATGAATTGAGATAGATGACAAACCATTCTAGCATCAAACCCTTAAAATAATGGTAATGCTTAAAATTGCACGGACACCAAGTTTAGGTCAGGGCACATTAGGTCAAAAGCAACTAAATTTATACCACAATACTCCTTTAAGCATAGTAAAAGCAAAATAATTTAATACATGTATACAATGTACATGTAGTTCATGTGCTTGTGCCAACCTTTACAAATAACCAAAAAAAATGCAAAAGAAAAAAATAAATCATTTTATACTTGTGCATGCATACATGAATTTTCTGCTTTAAGAAAATGTCAAATCCAAACTGTGTTCATTTAAAGTGCTAACTTATTTCATCACGTTCCATCAAAAACTGTTTAACTTTAAGCATATTTATACTTGATATAACAACATATATATTAATTCATTTATATCAAGTCTCCTCAATTAATCTGACAAGTAAAGGTGCCAGTAGGACTTGAACCCACACTCCCCAGGTCCAGATAGACACTATAACCACCAGGGCTCTCCTCCCTATCAAAAGCAAATCTAAATACCTATTTTAACATTTTGTTTTTTATTCTTCTCAATTAAATCACATCAGCATCAAAAAAGAATCAAGCAGCCTTTATAAATGTGCAGTCTGGGCATTTAAATTTCCAGCTTATTAGCAATTATATTTGTTGCATAATTACACTATTTTGAATTCCCTAGTTTATATTATGGGAAGTACTCACTGACAGACCAATCCATGTGGCAAAACCTGCACTGAAAATCTTTCTTATTTCAACAGAAAAAAGTTGCCGGAATGATGAAATATTTTATATACACTGTACACATATAATAATACACATCATAAATAGATTTTGACATTTCTATATTGTTTTTGTTCTGTTTTTTTATTTAAATTGTACAATATTATATTTAAGAAATAATATTGATACCCTCCAAGTAATCATCTTTTTAACACCAGTTTGAAGTTTTGAGGCGTAGGAATTGACCAGGCCCGAGTGGTTAACATTTTTGCATCAAAACAACAGTGTAGAAATTATTCTCTGAAATAGATCTGAAAGTACAATTTCTATTTTCAGTGTCATGATAACTTATGTTAAATATTTGTTACTATAGGTAGATTATCAACTTACGCGACCGACATGGTGAATACTCTTCATAATCAGTGGACGATGGTCGAGCTACATAACAAGTTCCTACAGGCTCGCGCTTGTCTAACCGCGTTGAAAAATACACATACCTAGGTGCACATGCCTGAAAATAAACATTTGAAACGATACATTTAAATTAAAATAAATATTCATATAAATACATAGCATTGTTATATGGTAGTCCAGCCATAACTTAAAGCAAAATTGGCAATTCAATACAGTCATTATTTCAGGCAAATTGGCAGCCCAGTCATTATTTCAGACAAAATTGGCAGTCCAGTCATCATTTCAGACAGAATTGGCAGTCCAGTCATTATTTCAGGCAAAATTGGCAGTCCAGTCATTATTTCAGGCAAAATTGGCAGTCCAGTCATTATTTCAGGCAAAATTGGCAGTCCAGTCATCATTTCAGACAGAATTGGCAGTCCAGTCATTATTTCAGGCAAAATAATGCAGTCCAGTCATTATTTCAGACAAAATAATGCAGTCCAGTCATTATTTCAGACAGAATTGGCAGTCCAGTCATTATTTCAGGCAAAATAATGCAGTCCAGTCATTACTTCAGGCAAAATTGCAAGTCCAGTCATTATTTCAGTAAAAATTTGCAGTCCAGTCATTATTTCAGGCAAAATTTACAAACCAGTAATTATTTCAGACAGAACTGGCGGTCCAGACATTATTTCAGGTAAAAAAGGCAGTCCAGTCATTATTTTGGGTAAAACTGGCAGTCCAGTCATTATTTCAGACCAAAGCTGGCAACCAAATAGAATTTACTACTTTCTGTTTGTAGGTAGAATTGTTTTCTTACATGAAAGAAATCAACTCAAACCCTAGTGCATTTGAGAGTAAATATATAATAACATAATTATTATCTTAGACTTCCAAAGTTTTAAAGTTTTCATTAACATAACAGTGAACTAATATAACAGGAAACATAAACATTATATATATACATTGCAGTACTGTTTCGACATAATCTTTTTCTTTTCATGATTCCACTAATCCACTTACATACATCTGACGATAAAACTATCTAAAACATGTATTTTTGCACTCAATACACTTTGGCAGTATTAAGAGGAAATACTTTATATTCTGCATGAACACAATTTTCAGCAAATTACTCTTTTTTTACTGACATTTCCTACTTCTTCCTTGTTCAGAATATGTATAACAAAAGTATACATGGTATATGTAAATTATTACACATAGAAATTTCATAATCTAAGGCCAGAGCAATTCTTGCAAATATATGCAAGTTCTATTTGGATATTTCCTAAACCGAGCTGTAAGATTACGCACATGAAAGTCTAACCCTAACCCATTGCAACCAAGCCAGACAGATTCATTAAACTAAAGAATACGAAGTTGCAAGCAAGATTCAAACCTACAGTAGTGTGAGGCAACTGTTTCTAAATTAAGTGACCATAACTATGCAGCAATACCTACCTGAAAGATTCCTCACATGAAAACCAACAACCCATTGCAACCAAGCCAGACAGATGAAGAAGTTTACAAACAAAAGAATACGAAGTCGCAAGCAAGATTTTAACCTACAGCTGAGTGAGGCAAATGATTTCAAGTCAGCCACCTTAACCATGTAGCAATACCTACCCGAAAGTTTCCCAACATGAAAGCCAGCCATCCTTTGCAACCAAGCCATAGAGTCTATCATTCCTAATTACAACAGATAAGAAGTCCCAAGTAAGATTCTAGCCATCAGCAGTATGAGGCAAGCGAATCAACATCAGCAACCTTAACCATGTGGCCCAGATACCTAGATGGGGCTACTGATAGTCGGAACAAATGATCTGTATTCCTTGACCATAATAATCATATCTGCTAAACTTAATACTACATAAGTCCGGTGAAATATAGAAATAATCATACAGTACGACAGGGCACAAAGTCTCCCTAATCAATCAGATAACAAATGATGCTGAAAACATCCCTCAATTTCCAGCAGTTGTTAGTCATTTAAGTGTATCAATGATTGACAGCCAAACTGGCTCCTCATAAACTATCGGACCAAAATTTACCATAGCCAATCTTAAGACTGCAACTTGTAACAGTTTTCATAGTGCTGTAAAGTCTGGGATTTTCATTTGCAGAATAAATTGTAGAATAAGAGTAGATGGTTATACACTGGAAGATTTTCTTTTTCTTCAAAAATGAATTCAATTCCATTTGAGGTCATAATGCAAAAATTATCAAAATGCTATGAAAATAATTTAAGGAAAAGATTTTAGTCTTATGTGTCAAAATTTTCAAATGCAGTTCTATCAACAGACCCCAACACATTTACTGGTCAGAATCTTTAAAACCGTAGACCAAATTTTTTATTGCAATTGTGGGATGCAAAATCTTACAGCAGATCAAATAAAATTTTGTTGGATCTTAAATTCGTGGACTGACCTATCCACCAAAAACATGAATATAAGTTCCCCATGAATTATAAGATTTTGCAGTAGCACATGACTCTCAAGTTCCAGTACCAAAATCTATAATGACTTTGGCCACAGAAAATGTCTTCAAATATCTCCATGACCCTTCCTGACATCAATATATCATGTTTACATGTCAATATCCCATCAGGATACCGATATTTACTGAGAATTGGTAACCAATATATTACACTGTCAAAATGATTAGTATCCCATATATAGTTAATTTGTAGGGAAATAAATTGTCAAGTTGTACTTAGGAAAACACTTTAAAAGTAAACTGCTCTTTAAAGTTCAAAATGATTTTATCATTTACAATGTTGATTAATGGCTTTCAACATATCTGTTGAGAATACTATGGATAAAGGACAAATTATAGCAGGTCCTGAATTTCAAATTTGTACATCAAAACAAATAAAATAATTTGTAAGTTTCTAAAATGGCCTTGTAAAAAACCTGGAAATGAACTTTTCCCAAACTTTGTGAAAAAGCTGATAGAAATGCATTTAAACAAATACTGAGAAATTAATATATTCAACAAGGGAAATTTCTGATGGAAAACAAATACAGTGTATTATATGTAAATGTTTTTTTCATTACCCTACTGATAGTTTATAATGTCATACTTCAAAATACAAATGAGAAACAAATGAGAGCTGACTACCATAGCAACCTTATTTACTATGCATGTCATCATAAAGAAAACCACAATAAATGGAGAAAAATATACCATGTTACTTTTCTTCATGATAGATTAATTATTTAACTTAAAGGGACTCCACTGAGTTTTTTTTGACATGGCTGTACTGGAAATACATTTTTACGAGATTTTTTTTTTTCATTTTATGAAAATCTGTAGCAAACACTTGTATTCAAAATTTCAGATCATTCGCTCACTCTGTTTTTCCAGAATAATCATTTTTATCGTACAAAATGAACTATAATGAAAAGCATCGTAACAGTTTTAACGTAATTCACCATCGATTCCAGTCCATTCCGGTAATTGGGCCAATTCTGGTAAGTCGTGTAACCGGTTTAAACTCAATCCAGCCAAGGAATAGCAATAAATATTGATTTTTCAATTTCATTCTGAATTTATTTCTTAATTATGTGACTTATATTTTTTCATTTAAGCACCAAAGTTGCCTATGTAAGATTTTCAAATTTTATGTTTTTTATGTTTTGGACCTCAATGGAGTTCTATTAAGTAAACATTTACAATTACTTTTCTGGTGGTGGTGACAGAATACCATGCAATCAGTGCAGACCAAGATCAGCCAGCACATCTGCACCCTGTGATCAAGGTGACTGCACTGTTCGCTATTCAGTCAATATCTATTTTTATATTTTCCCGTATTAAAAATAATGAATGTGAAATATGTCCAGATTAAGAGATGGACCAGTTTGTTTAAGTTATTTTATTTCAGTTAAAGATGTTCCAAAAAAAGATTATGCTAAAATCAAGCAGGTAACATTACGATAAGAGCAACAATTCAAATGTGACAGTGACCTTTACACATGAACATGACTGGCAAGGTCAAATTATTGAATTAAGCTAAAATTTTCATAACTTTGGTATTTAATAACAGACTTGATTAACTGATTTGACTGATATTTTGAAATCCTATAAACTTTGAATGGATTGTCTGAAATTCAATGCTGGGCAAACCTTACTATAGTACTACATCCAGTTAAAGGGACTCCACTGAGGTTTAAAAGCCTAAATACATAACATTAAATTTTGATTGAACTCATTGGCACTATTAACAGAAATATACGCAAAGATAGTTAAGAAATATACATTGAAATAAATTGAAAATCATACTTTTATGCTTTTCTTGAACCGATTTGAGTGAAAAGCCTTTAAATGCTTTTCATTTCGGGTCATTTTTTTTACAATTTGAATAATTATTCTGGAAAAATGAAGTGCACGAATGATCTGAGATTTTGCATAAAGATTAATGGTCTAAACCTACATCAAATGGTACATTTATCTGGAAAAATATTTTCAGTCCCATCATGTCAAAAAAAAACTCAGTAGAGTCCCTTTAAAGTGAAATTTCAAATAAACAAATAGCATCAAATACACAAGGAAGAAACAAAATTTAATACTTGTATTTATTGACATGATCGCAGACCAAAATACACCAGGTCAGCTAATCATTATCTATAAACCACTTTAAATGATTTTAACCCTCAAAACAGTACTTCCTGGAAAGTTAAAATAAGTTCAACAACATGAGACAGTACAGTGGGCTAGCCATTAGATACAGGAAATTATCCTCAAATGTCCACTTCACACGCTCTTAACCACACTCCAAATCAAGCACATGGTCAGACTTAACACACTCCAATTCAAGCACATGGTCAGACTCTCTTATCTGTTCTAAGATTTAAAGCCGCCTTCAGTTTTTCACAACGATAAATATTTATGTTATTTTTAGATCAATCGTTTCATATATTTGTCAAATCAAAAGAAATTACATGGAAAATGAAATTTGTCATCCATAATATGCGGAAGATTCATTTCTCAAAAATATCTTCTATTTTTAGGAAGGAAAGTCACCGATGCCTTACAAATAGCTTTTGGAAGCTGTGTCTAAGATATGATACACTTTTTCCAAGTACTGAAATTATTCTTTTCCCTATCATACAAAAA